GGCGTTTTGATGCTTTTGATGTTGTTTTTTCTCCTTTGAAGAGGGTTCCCGGATTTCATTTGTTGGGAGAATGTAAAAGAGCTTGCTGCGTGATAAAGTGGTTAGCTATAATAACTTACTAGTAATTTTAAACAATGTTGTTAACATGGATAAAGTAAGATACTCAAACCAGCAACGCTTGACAAGCTTTGTCTCACTATTTTCGTCAATTTCATTCTTTGAGTTTGTTGTATAAGCAACTGATGAAATTTGTAAAACACTAACCCTAAACCCTAATTCCCATAATCAGTTCCGTAATATGCTTTGCGAGAATTGTATGTTTGTGATTTAAGTTAAGTTTGTAGCAAATTAACCTTTTAGGTGTATTGTGATATAGGTCGACACAAAGTTAAAGAATATCACGATACAGGCTAGCTAGGGTTTCTCTAGATAATTGGACCCAGTTATTTTATCTCTACACCCAACTAACAAATTTTATCTACTAAATTTCCAAGTTTACCATTAAATAAATAAGGATAAGAAAAGAAAAGAAAATAAACATTGATATTTTTATCTCTACACCTAATAACTCAAAAACTGGCACACTAGTGCACTCCTCCATTATTTCCAATAAAACCCACACAAATAACAACAAAGTATTCTCTCGAGTTCATCAACGAGTTAGCTTGCTAGAAACCCTTATTAGCCCTCATTTATTATTTCAGCGTAGGTTCTCAATTGATACGTTTGTTTGTTTGTTTGAACCATTATCTGGGAGTTGGCTACTTGCATAAATTATTAAACTAACAAGTCAGCTTGCTAGAAACCCTTGTTGCTATCTCTTCTAAATAGACACTGACATGGAAGCATTTTTCTCATATTGCAGGAATTTGTTTCATGTCCAACGAATTTGTAAGAAGTTTTCTCCGCTGAAATTATAAATGAGGGCCGCTAGGGTTTCTAGCAAGCTTACTTGTTTATGAACTTGGGAGAATATTTTGTTATCATTTGGGTGTTTTTGGGGAAATAATGGAGGAGTGCAGTGGTGTGCCATTTTTTTGAGTTATTGGGTGTAGAGGTAAAAACATCAATGTTTATTTTCTTTTATTTTCTTGTTCTCATTTATTTAAGGGCAAACTTGAAAGTTTAGTAGAGAAAATTTTTTAATTACGTGTAGAGATAAGATAGCTAAGTCCAAATAAAATTTTCCTTTTTACAAATGCCAAAGTACCTTTTGCGTGTGTTGTGATACATGTCGACACAAGGCTTAGTTTCATGTAAAGTTTCAACTTAAACGTAAGACGTCTTTGCATGTGCTTTCTAAATAAAAGGAAAACAGAAAAAAGTCTCGCTTAACAACACCTGCAGCTTAAAAAATCCTAACATCTTTCATTTTAGTCGTCGGCCCCTTCCTCCTATTCAGGACGGTGGTAGCAAATGGTCATGTTGTCTCCTTTCCTTCCCAACTCCTCCTCCATTTTGCTAATCTTTTCATGGCCTTACTTTTCGGATGGCATTGTTCTGAGCGTTTTGTATCTCGGTGTTCTCTGAGCTTTGTCTCAATTTGCTATGAGTTTGTCTCATATCTAGTTTTTATGCCTTGTTGCTCTCCAAATATGGTTCCTTACCGCGAATTCTCAACCATCTACCCATGCTACTTAGTTCATCCACTACCAAGATAGAAAGCACTAGTGGCAGTTAGATTTGCCCCTAAAACTTCAATTAATGGAAAATTAGCTACAAAATACTAATTAGGGGCGGGTAAAGCCTTAAACCGCTCCTAATATTACTCAAGCCACGTACTTGCTGATTTGATAATTAATTCATTTTTAATTCTGTTCCACCTTTAATATTAGGATAATGTTAGGAACATCAAATTTTTTTAAACTAAATTTACAAACCAAATGATATGGGTGTAGATGATTGAATTATAATTAAGTGTCGGTTAACGTGCTTATCTATGACATATTATTTAGTTTACAAATTTAGTTTAAAAATTTGGTCTCCTTAATTTTATTTTCGGTAATTATTCGGTGGAGGATGGTTTCTTCTTGGTAGTTACGATAATTTAGCACCGGAGGTAGATTTGTGGGAGCCAATTTCTTACCTGCCTGAGCCTCTGAGATGGAAGTTTGTACAGCTGCACCACTTGTCACATCTATTTAAACTAAGTTTTGTAAATTATATGACGTGATTATTGATGGATTATAATTAACGTGCTTTTTTTTTATTAGTGATACATTACATGGTTTATAAATTTAGTCTACCTAATAATACTTTTTTGGTAGTAAACGAGTGTCTCCTTCAAGAACCTCCTCCAGCGGAGTGCGGTAGCATTTAAAGTGCAATTTACATTATTTGATAGGATTATAAGAGCGCTCTAGCACAGTGGCTTGCTACCCTTATTTTTCTTTCATCCTTTTAGTTCTTTGTTCTCTCTTCAAGGTGGCGACAGCGACTTTGTGGTAGTTGTGCAGCTTATTTGATGGAGGTGGATGCTCTACTTTTTCAAGTCTAGGTTTTTTTGATTGCATGTTGCTATGGGCTACTCATCTCCTATCTCATTGTAAGTTTCTTTTGTGGTATCCGGCTTTTGTTTACCATCTTAAACTCTTTTTGAGTTATCCTTACATTGTAGTAGTTTTTTCCTTCAATGAAATTAACTTTTTTGACAAAAAAAAAAAAGTGCAAAACGTCTTGGCAATCGACCACCAATTAGGTCAATATTTAATGATAAATATCATTGATACTATTCATACTTAACCATATATTGTTATGTGTGAAGTTTATTATAAAAAACCTCGATGATATTAAAAATGCAATATCTCATATATAAGTTATATTGTATTTTGTTGTACGATTAATGTCACATCGCATTAGCGAACATCTTGGTTTATATTGCATGCCTGGATTTGTAACCTAGTAAAATCATTGTGGTCAATTTGAGTTTTTTCAATGAAGAAGAGCATGCCAAAAGCAAAAGGGTGTTTTGTATAATTGTATTGTATCCGACGCTCTGCATGCTAAGGAGACATTATAAAAAGAAGTAAAAGCTATATATATTTAGCTCCCCTGTGGACCATATGAATTGTGATTTTTATATGTTCATATATAAAATGAAATGATCATCCATTGACATTGTAGTAGCTGGCATGCATGCAGCCGTACAAAATGTTTGCTTTGATTTCTCATCCGGCGCAGATTGTGGAAGAATTTGGAGAGATTTGGAAGAGAAACAGAAGTGCCTTTTAGCTCAGCATCCTTTAATGGTAGTAAAGCTCACAACTTTGTTTATGAGATAGTTTAATTTATGTGATTTGTGTAGATGATCTACATAAATCTTGAAATTTGAACTCATTCAACGGTAATAAATAGAGTAGTGAACATCATCATCACTTGAAGATGATTAGCAAAAATATTCTCAGAGGAAGAGTGGGGGGTGGGGGTAGGGGACACCAATTAGGGTTTATGGGATTTAAGTTTGTATACAATGTGGGGTGGCATGTGAGTGTTTATGATTGCTTGCACCACAATTATAGGCTGCAAAGCAAATCATTGCAAACACCATGTTTAACCATCTCTCATAATTATTACATATTTTGTGTGCATGTTTGCACGCCTCTTATGATTGATTAATATTACTTTGATTAATTACTTAAGCAGGGTAAAAGTTCAAGTGTCAATAACCGTCTTCAAACTATCTTTAGTCCTTATTACCCTTCTCTCTTTTGTCATTTTGTGGGAAATTTTAAAATTATGACTATTTTCATGACACACTTCGACTGAAATCAAGACGTACATTTCATTTCTCAATGGTTAAAATGATCAATTTTTTGTAAATCGTCTAAATTTGATTGTTACCTCATCAATATTTAATTGATATAACGTTGATATTTGATTGATATATTGTCGACATTGATTTTGATTAATTCAACAATTGAGATTTGATTTCTAATCATTTTAATCAATTTCTCAAAACTTTTGGATATGCTAAAGACTCTTAGTCCAATTTTTCTTACTTTTAGAACTTTAACCACTCGAAGGAGGGTTTAAAAACTGCTCGAGGAGTCTCGAAAAGGGAGGGTCGAGCTTTTGCTTGGGGGAATCAAGTAACTATATTTCTGATTCTTAAAAATGAATTGGCTGATAACTGTTATGAACCTGATAACTGTTATGAACCATCACTCTAGCACATTGCTAAGTATTTTTCTTCTCGAATTTAGCAAGTAGTACGAAATGTCTCATTTACTGTTTACATTATTAATCACATCTCTCGCAGTATAAAACTCTTTCACAACAAAGTTGCTAAATTAAGGTTAAAAAAATGGTGGCTAAAGTTACAAAAGAAGACCTTTGATTGAGTGGGATTTGACATGATAACCGGCGTTCTAATGATTATTATTTGGAGAGGGCTTCTCACGGACCCCCACCAACTCACCAAGCAGAAGGACAAGGAATTAATCATGCATACTTTGTTTTTTCCCTCTTTGATTTTTGAGATTGAGAAAATTGTAGCAATAATTTTTTTTTTAATTTTAACTCAATTAGAACGATGATTTTTTAATTAAAAATTTATGACTATAAGTTCTTTAATTCATCAAATTGCGTAACTATGATTGTTTTGTCAACTTAGTTAAAACTTCCATTAAAATGAGTCATGTGCGTGGCACATGAGGCTAAATCAAGGTGCAAATATAGATTACCAAATGAAAAAAAAAATTAGATTTGTTTCTTCAACTTTAACTCAATTAGAGAAATGATCCATCAACTTTAACTCAATTAGAGTAATAATCTCTAAACGTTAACCCAATTGTAGCAATGGTTCTCTCAACATGAGTTATTTTAACGAAATTCTAATGAAATTGATGAAAAAAAAAAAACATAACTATACTTTTTAATAAGTTAAATAATTAATCGTCATGAATTTTTAATTGAAAAATTATTTCCACGTTATTCTCTTTCAAAAATAACACAAAAAGAAAAGCTAGCCAGCCAGTGCTAATAGCAACTAATACTTCCATTACTAGACTATAAAACTAGGCCTCTATTGTCTATTCCTTCATTGGTAATTGGATTTACTGCGGCCATGGCTGGAGGCAACTTGAAGAATGCAGTGATAGCATTTCTCGCTCCCCTTCCCTCCATTCTCTTCTACCTCATATTCCTCAGCAACCACCATAGCCAAACTAATGAGAGCTTCCTCTCTCCTCTCTGGACATGGTGCTATCACCACCCTCTTCTCCTAGCCAACGTTTTCTTCTTCCTCAACATCAACGTCCTCTTCTGGGTCATCAGCCAAGCTCTTTCCAGCCACTGGGTACGTTGATTTTTCGTTCAAAATCTGATCTTTTTGGGTCTTAATTGCAAATTTGAATTTTTTTTTATGAATTGGGTTGGTGCAGATGATCGATTTGTACTGGACTGTGATCCCTGTAATGCTCGTTCACTACTATGGATCTCATCCTCTGGCTGATTACAACCGGTGGCGGTCGACGATTGCAATTTCGCTGACTTGGGTTTGGAGCCTCAGGCTTAGCCACAACTACTTTAGGCGGGAAAATTGGCAATGGGGTGCCAGGGAGGACTGGCGGTTCACAGATATGAGCTCACAGTACGGCAAACATTGGTGGTGGGTTTCCTTCTTCGCCGTTTACCTCTCTCAACAGGTAGTGCTCTAAGTGTTTGTCGAATTGCCTCAATGAGCTTCCAAGCTGGTGAAAAATGTGAAAAATGGTCGCTTTTGGTTTTCTGATGGTTGTTTTTAACCTTTGTAGGTTTTTATAATTGGGATATGCCTTCCATTCTATGTAATCCACTCAGTTAATGTGCCACTGAACATATGGGATTTTGTTGCCGTCATAGTCTGCATTACTGGCATTGTTGTAGCATACTTAGCTGACACGCAGCTCCATGACTTTGTGAGCCGAAACAACAAGCTGAAAGAGCTTGGAAAGCCCGTTGTTCCGAATCTTGACGAAGGGTTGTGGCACTATTCGCGGCATCCCAACTACTTCGGAGAGCAATTGTGGTGGTGGGGATTAGTCATATTTGCATGGAACTTGGGACATGGATGGGCCTTTGTTGGGTCTCTGGTCAATACAATGTGTTTAGCTTATGTGACTATACTTGTCGAACGCCGAATGCTGAAACAAGATTACCGAGTAGAAGCATACAGGCGGTATCAGAAGACAACCTCAGTGTGGATACCTTGGTTCAAGTCATCTCCAGGAGGAAAAGATAAGAACGCTTAATTGATAATCCTTTCGGTGTGTTACGCTTTGCTAGTTATTTTTATCTGCAATCTATCCATAATCTGTGTTCGTGTCTTATAATGTCCTATGTTCAAAAGTTGTCATCAACTGGTATTTGTTTGAAAGAAATGAATGCAAGTTGGATTTTATTTGTGATAATCTCTCTACTTAGTAGTAGTAAGAAATTGTACAAAATTGTTCAGAATTTACTTAAACAGTTGCCTTTAGTTTAGAATGTGGAATTTCCATGAGATGTGGCTTTGTTCTTAAATTCCATTGTGTTACGATAAACATAAGATCGAAATCTGTACTGTTAAATATAACAGCACAAGATGGTAGCTTAAAGAGTTAACTGTATCACGAAGACACGATTCATTCCAGAACTTACTTCAATTGAAATGCACAAGGCTCAACAAGCTTCAGTAATAATTATAGTACTAAACCAGGACATCATTTGCCTACTTTTGTGAAACTTGAAAAACTTCCATTGGGAATGGGATCCCAAGTTACATGGGTAGGCAAGTTTCCACTTTAACATTTGCGTAATTGTCATTGTTCTGGGGAATCTTGGATGAACCATTCTGTTTTTGTAGTTAGTCAACTCATTTGAAATAGTCGTGTTGGAATATATGATACAAAAGTAGAATCAGCTTTAACCCACCATCACCTATTTAGCTTTCTATGTTCATGGATTTCTAGTATGCATCGGTGTATATGTGTGGCCGTTTGGCCGTTAGATCTTTGACTATTGGATCCTTGGTTGCACATCCAACACTTCATTCATCCGGTGCAAATCATACACCGAAACATAGCAAAATTTTCGTAGTTTTCAAATACACAATACACATATTTGACTTCTCACGGACAGCTAGCTGTTCGCTTTGTCAGTGCACTTAGAAACAGTTATAGGACACCTGTCCCTTTTTTTTAATAGAAGTAAGAACCTTTTTCTTTTAAACCCCAAGAATCCCACTGATAAATCTGCTGCAAAGGAAGAGGTGTGGTGGTCCCGGCATGTGCTTAGCTATATATGAATACTGGGAAACCATGCTAATGGATCATGTAGACCTTCAGAGAACTCCAGTTTAGGAGAACGACTTATATAGAACGGGTTCATTGTGATGTCCCAACCCACTAGTACAAAACCATATATAAGTTTTTGTCCACTTGTCGTTGCATTATAGGACCTAGACACCACGTAGCGGTGAACCTATTCCATCCAAGTTGCTTTCTTGATTTCTAGGAGAAAATAGGATGAACATCTGCAAAAAGTGAAATTCACTTTATGAGCCTTGTAAAATTAGAAGAACTGTTTTGAAAGATGAAGCCCTTGAGTATTCTTTTAGAGCGTTTACTCTTGATCCGAAGTTCAGAGTTTACCCTTGTATCCAAATACTAAAAAAGATGTTCGAGTTAGTTATAAAGATAATGTTTTACAGTGAGGTGATTCAATGAGCTTAGCATTTAACCTTCTCAAAGTGTAGGGGTCCCAGTCCCACGCAGCTCTATGTTTCAAAAGTATTGAGATTTGAAAGTGCTTTCTGCAAAGTGCAATCTTTGAATATTGAGGACACATTCAGAAGTCTGTCTAGTGGCATATGTTTCTTTAATCTCTCAAAATTGGATTCTCCTCAAGCTGCAAGACTTGGCCAAATTAAAGTTTCAAGCAAAAGCTGCAAAACAGATACCATGGGGATGTACAAGTTCATTTCATCACTTCACTTTTTATCATATTTCTGCATGCATTCCGTTCTCAACTCATGTCTTAGTTCGGCTGTCGCCGGATCAACGAGACAGATAAACTGGCCGTGCCTGAATTCAAGGCTAGTATATATAATGATCCCCTTGGAGTCGAGAGATCGTGGAATGAATCCACCACTTTTGCCACTGGCATGGTGTGTCATGTGGTTACCGCCACGAGAGGATCACCTGGAGCTAAAATCCTTGAAATTTGGACGCTCATATCACCAAGTGTTGGAAATTTGAGTTTCATCAGAGTGTTTAGTCTCTTAAACAACAGCTTCCACCATGAAATCCCCCAGAAATTGGCCGTCTGCGTAAGCTGCAAACTTTGGTATTGCACAATAATTCACTAAATGGGGAAATTCCCGCTTTCTGGACTCGCTTTTCCATTTGCGTATTTTTACCTTTGTAGTTTCCAGAGTAAAAAAAAGGAGCATCCTTCCTGTGATTTTGAATTTTTCCCAAAGATGTCTTACCAAAGTCTTCTTAAAGCTACTGATGGATCCTCCTTTGCCAACTTGATTGGTTGGGAAGTTACGGATCAGTTTATAAAAGATTACTTGATCAAGGTGAAACGACAATTGCCATCAAGGTACTCAACGTACCTTGTTTGACGTGGAGCTTCCAAAAGTTTCAAAGCTAAGTGTGAGGCCTTGAATATTAGACACCATAACCTTGTGAAGGTACTGTCTGCATGCTCAGGATTCGACCATCGTGATTCTGATTTCAAGGCCTTAATTTACGAGTTCATGGTGAATGGGAGCTTAGAGAAATGGTTGCATCCAGCTCAGACAAGTAATGAGACAAATGAGAGGGCAAGGAGCTTGACTTTTTCTCAATGGGTGAACATTGCTATTGGTGTTGCAAAGGCATTGGACATATCCACCATCATCAGTGTCACGTGCCAATAGTTCATTGTGACCTCTCAAACCCAGCAATGTTCTTCTCGACGACGATCTAATTGGACATGTAGGTGACTTTGGGTTGGCGAGTTTTCTTCCCACAACTCTTAAAGATGGTTTTGGTAAGCAATCAAGCTCCATCAGAGTAAAAGGAACAATCGGTTGTACTCCAAGTGAGCACTTTCTAATTCTTTTTCGTGATATTTTAGTAGGGCCTTCAGCTGATATTTACACTGTTAAAAAAACTTGTATAAATGCAGAGTATGGTATGGGACATGAAGTGTGGACACAAGGTGACGAGTCCAGTTACGGCATCCTCCTGCTGGAAATGTTTACTGGAAAAAGGCCAACCAGTGACGTGTTTCAAGGAACTTCAAATCTTGACAACTATGTCAAGGCAGCACTACTAGAGCAGGTGGTTGAGATTGTGGATCTTGTTCTTCTTCACGAAAAACAGGAAGGGGAGATGAGCGCAAACCAACGTCTTACTAAGGCCAGCACAACGATTCACATCAAATTTGAAGAGAGCTTGATTTCAATCCTTGAAAATGGCATTGACTGCTCTACAGACGTGCATGGAGAAAGGTTGGACATCGCTGATGCTATGGCTGAGATGTGTCGGATCAGAAACAAAATTCGAGCGGATCATAAAATATACATTGTGTTAAGCATGTAATAATACTGTTTCCTGATGTGTGAGTTGGAGATTTTCTTGATCAATAAAACAGTATAGATGAAGAGATTGTCATTTTTTTTTCTTTCCCTAAGGAATCTTGGATGAACCGTTGTGTTATATAGTTATTCCGCCACGTGATGTCCCGATTTAATAATGCAATGTCGTGTAAAGAGAAACCTACAAACATAGTATTATTAGATCACAGCGCCACAACAACAGTAAACTCGTTTCATGAGAGTCCGTATCTATTGGAATAACAGCTGTAAAAGTGGAATCAGCTTGACCCACCATAACTTACGTAGCTTTTGTCTATTTTCATGGGACAGGTAGACGTTAGCTTTGCCAGTGTTCTAAGATACAGTTACAGGACCCCTTGCCCCTAATTTTGTAGGAAGTAGGAACCTTTTTCATTTTTAAGTCCAAGAATCCCACTGATGGATCTCTTGCAAAAGAAGAGCTGTGGCTGTCCTGCCATGTGCTTAACCATATGTGCACTGTGAAATTAAGCTAATGAATCATGTTCTTCCTTCAGAGAACACTGATTTAGAGGAGAAAACAAGACAAGCATTGGAAAAACAAAGGTACAGATTCATTTTTACGAATGTCGTAAATTTAGGACGGTTTCAAAGACGAAACCTTTGAGTATTGTTTTAGAGCGTTTACCCCTGAATCTGAAGTTCAAGGTTTAAAAAACAGTTGAGAGCTTAACCTTGTATGAAAGTGTAAAAAAGGTAAAACCTTTGTGTAAGTTCAGAATATTTTACTGGGAGGTGATTCAATGAGCATATTAGCCTATTAGGCTTGTTGGGGCGCACTCTGCTCTGTGGAATAAAAAGAAAAGAGAAACTTTGCCTTACTAGATTGCCCTTCCCCAACAATTATCATAAAGTAGTTGTTGCATTTTGTGTATCAATTTTTTTTACATGACAAAATACATAAGATTTTTCGAGTGTGTATGTAATTTTTAGCCGTTTAAACTTTAGTTTGTTAATTGGCCGCACATCTAACTCTAAGGGTGATGCCTTTATTTATTCCGTGCATGTCATTATTAGAATTTTTAGAGTAAATAATGGGTGGTTGAGGTCAAATTGGATAAATTTTCCACTAGTCCTTATTGCCGTTGTAACTGAGTAAAATTGCCTTCTTGCCCAAAAGAAGTTGCTCCACCGGTGGAAAAATAGGAGGGCAATTGTTGGAAGAGCAGCTGCCCTGCCAATTCTTGCAAGAGCAGTTGCCCTGCCATTTCTTGCAAGAGCTTGCGCCGAGTGGAGATGCATAGCGAAACAGCTCAATGTTGATGCAACAATAGGGGAATTAGGACCGTTGGATTCTAAAAAATTGCTTCAACGGCCATGATTGAGAAGCATAGTGAAACAGCTCAATGTTGATGCAACAATAGGGGAATTAGGACCGTTGGATTCTAAAAAATTGCTTCAACGGCCATGATTAATCTAACTCAAAATTAAAAAAAAAAAATCATAAAAATTACCAAAAAATTCAATTTTTATTTTTATTTTTTTATTTTTTATTTTTTTATACAAAATTCACACTTTAAAAATCTTATAAAGTTCAACACAATTGCAAATTAAACATTTAGAATTACCCAACAATCTATGGCAATAATAATATGTAGGTATAAGACAAAGAAAACATTAAAAAAAAAAATTTGTGAATAGAAATCGCTCTTGCCATTCCTCCTTCCAAACATGTAGACTTGCACAATGGTAATTACTATTAAAAGTGAATAGTGAGACAATTTTGTTGCCCTTGCCTTCCAATAGCCGTTGCCCACCACAGTGATGCTCTTAAGCTATCTCTAATGGAGAGGGATAAAGGGC